ACTTTTTAAAGTATTTTGTCTGATTTTTAAAAAAATTGACTGAATTTATTCAAAGTTGAAAGTGTCCTTTCTCTCTCTCTCTTTAATAAACTCAGTTTGGTACTTGATAAATGATCATAGTCTTAAGTAATTTTAGAAATCCTATATAATAATATTTATTTAAAAATTGCAGATTCTTTAGTTTAAAATACATTTTTATTTTTAAATTTGTCTTTTCCCTTTTTTTTTCAGATCAACAACCCCTCCCCGTCGTAAACGCTGAGGAATGATGTGGCAAGAATGCCATGATGTTTAAAAAATTCCATGAGTTTTAAGGGCTTGTCTCATTATAGAGGCACATTGTGGCTGTGTAGGTGAAACCAGAATCTTTTTTTTTTTTTTTTAAAATCTGTAAATAGGTGTACTTTTTCCAAATGCTGCTCCAAGTTACTTAATAGGATTTCTTTGTATTACATTTTTTTCAAAAAAATAGTGCTTAATAAGACTATAAACATGCCATTCTCTTTCAGCTGTAATGTTCTTAAAGTTATTCTTGAATGTACTGTGATGTCAATAAAGCTCTTCAGTTCATTTTTGTTAACCTCTTGCACCTTAATTTTATGATTTGAATCTAAGGAACGTACTTTTATAAAAAGGCAGCTGGAATTTTGTATAACAGATTTTAAAGGTACTTCCTCTCGGCTCCCCCAAAGAAAATGGTTTTAATTTAATAGTTTGTCAAAGTTTGTAAACTGTACCCATGGATTTTTTTTTTTTTTTTTGTCAAATTCCAACTTTAAGGGTGTGGAAGAGGGCCAAAAATAGATCTTTTCATTTGGAAACATTTGACAGCTTTCTAAACTTTTCTTCCTATTTGGAGGATTTTCAAGTAATATATTCTCTGTGTATAAAGTATGGTTTACTTCTGTACAGTGAAATTGCTGGAAACAATCAAGCCAGTGCACCATTAGAGTTATTTATAAGGAACAGTTGTGTTTGACCCTAATAGTCCAGCCTGGAACTCTATTCTGCACTTATCCACTTCTGGTTTAGAAGCATATTTTGAACACTGGGGTATTACAGAAATAAGACTCACAGTCCAATATATTTACTTATATTTTTAAAATATAACTTCAACTCAGTGGAGGAATGCTGTATTATTCAGGTTTGTGTCAAATTCATAACATTAAAATGGTCTGGTTTTATCAGTTTCTTAACAATAATGATCAGTGAGTGGTCTAGCTATTTAAGGCAGTCATAACTTACGAGTAAAATGAGGCTCTGAAGGCATTTAAATGCTCCACTGCTTCCAGGGTCTGTTTTTATGTGATTATTCACTTTCGCCACAATAGTCAGATACATGTCTGAAAACAAATGCTTTTAAGTTTTAATTTAAAAAGAAAAGAGCAGGTGCAGGTCACGGGGAAGTTTTAAAGTATGCCTTTTTACCAGCAATAGTTCATTTTAAAATAAGCCAGATTTTTGCCACGATCAGTGTTTCTTCAGAATGAAGGTAGAAATAGATTTGTACATGTGCTCTTGTACCTCTACATAGCTTCTTAAATAATTTTGAGCAGTTCTGCATTTATCTAGAAGAAATAAATCAACTGTGAATAAATGCATGTTTACCAAAATGGTTGTATTACAGTGCATTTAGTTCTGATATTTATAAAGTTGATATTTCACAGAATAACTTTTAAATAGTTTGGAATTCTATATAGTTTAGACATCAGTCACATGTGGAGACAAAATGACAATGTGCAATATTTTTTATGTAGGTGAGCTAACACGGTGTACCTAATTGCAGAGTTAATTATCAGATTAATTTGTAATAGATAAGTTGTATAACATTTTCATATCTTAAAATGTTTTTTAGATCAATCTTCAGGTGAAATAATATTTTCAAAATAAAATTCTACAGAAAAGTTCTGTTGGCTATGATATGCACATTTTTGGACAAGATAAATGATTAGAGCCAAAAATAGTATTTGACAGTTTTATTTACTCTGCCATAATATGCAAGCTTCTTATTTAAATCTGTAGATATTTTTAAAAACACACTCATGATATATGTGATTATTAGTAGATACATCAGTGTTATAATTAGATATTTGGGTTTTTCAGATTTTTATGGATAATTTAGAGAATTCATCACTTCACTGACATGTAATGAAGTTATGTTTACCTTAGTGTAAGATTTTATAAAATAGGGCTTCCATGATTTGGAATGTGAATGCTAAAACACATAAGTTAACTAGATAAAATAATTCGGTTATGAAATCTAAAATGACACCATCACAAAATCAGTAGTTTCAATTTTTGAGACAATCATTGGTCTGAAGTGGTTAATAAAACTGTCTTGAGGTTCTTTTAAAATATTTCTAGTGTATTAATCATACTTGTTTTTGTGGAATGGGGGTAAACCACACCATTAAGTGAATAAAATGTTAACTTGGAAGAGGTAATAATAAGATTTGTTTCATGAAGGCCCCAAAATAAAAATAAAGAATGGTGTGGAATCACAGTGTATATGTTTTCTGCCATTGTAAAATGTCTTGTTTTAGCATCAGTTTCTAATGGTATAATACACAATAGGTAAACTTCCCCAAACATAGTCTTTTTTTTTTTTTTTAAGTATCTAAGTTATTGTTTCTTCAAAGAAACAAATGAAGTGTAATTAATCAGTAGGTGAGATTTCTTTTATGTGGGAATTTTTACATAGGAATTGTATGAAGTCCAAAGTTCCTGTAATATTGTCTTGGAAACGTTTACATTTTAACAGATTTTTTCTTCTCTTCTATACATTAAAGTCTATTTTTATTTCTTGAAGTTTCTAAAATGTACTAATCATGGTTTAATGGAAATATTATTAGACTCATTGAATTGTCCTGACTCTGCTGCTTAATTTATTATGGGCAAATCATTTAAACACGATGGGCTTCAATTTCTTTAACGATAGAAGTGTGGAATTAGATTATTTTTAAGATCTTGAATACTTCTAGCCCTTAAGTTTTTTCAGTTTTAAGTGAAATTTGGCTGTAATGTCTAATCCTGAATGAAAAAATAGGCTTTTTATCAACCCTTAACATAAGTGTGATGAGTTACATTTTATATTGTCAAGATATATCAGGTGTCCTCTATAGAGTTTTCCTGTAAATACACAAAGATTAAATTTGCCACAATCTGATTATGGTAATGTAAGTAAAGAAGTTATCCTGAGCTACCAATTTATGTGTAAATATGAAAATTTACCAGTTAAATTCTTGAGTTGATGTATATCATGTCAAAGGGATAAAGATATTAGATGTAAGGGAGTAGTACTTCACCCTTAATTTGGAAAAGTTTTTATAAAATTGAATTTCAAAATATTAAGTAAATTTTCAGTTTTTATAGTAAAATAAATTGTAGATTCTGGTTTACAACACACGAGTGAGACTAAAGCAGTGGTTGGGGAAATATCTCCAGCATTGGCCACACACCACATTATAACTGCTAGTCTTTCCAGCACAACTCCAGTTGAAGTGTCATTGGAAAAGGCTTTTTGGTATCTTTAGAGAAAAGTACTAGGAGCTAGTTTTGCTTATCTGGGCCAAACTGGTGGGTATTCGAGAAGCTTTGGTTTCCTGTCATTATTAAAGGCAAATTACTGATTGCCTTTGTCCTTGAATTGAAAAGGTAGTGGGAAGGCCCTGAAGCCCAAGGAAGTGGTACATTCAAAGAAAGTACACTTAAATAAAGCTTTTAAAACTTTAAATCATACTTGCACTTTGCTTTTTCCTTGTATCTGTCATTCCAACAAGTATAACACATGCTAAATGTTCTTTTGTGCCAGAGCTTTGTGTCGTCATTTGGAGAGATGGTCATGTGTCCTGAGAGAGGAACTCTGAAGAGGACATAACTGAAAAATCTGCAGCCACTCTTAGGAGGAGGTCAATATTTTACTAAGAAGCCTTAAGTGAAAGACTATTACTGAGCAGTAAATTTCACTAATTCAAGGAATCTTTTACCAAATTGACCCTGCCTGTTGAAAATGTACAATGATTTTTTTTTTTTTTTTTTGCCTTGGAAATGTATTATTGCTTTTACTCAAGGAAAGGCTTTTGTACATTTAGAAGTCAAGTATTACTGATCACTGTTTTAGCTTTCAGTGAAGTTTGCCTAGCTTGAGTGATTAACAGCCCTACTACATATTATATGCCCTGTCCAGAATATTATCAGGTCCCTTGTAGAAACTGTATTTTCAATTTCGACTTCTATACCTCTGTGGCATTTGAGGGCCTTGGAAGGGGGAACACTTCTACCCTTAGGAAAGAAATGCTTCCATGCATGCTTTTGTGATTCTAAGGGTCAGTGGCACACAAGCGTGTAAGTGTCTTTGGGAGACCTCTGTTAAATATGAAAGAATTAGAGCTGTACGAGAATAAAAGCTAGTTTACACAGTACGAAGTAGCGTCATCTATGACTACTTTGGCCATGAGGTTTGAGGTGGACATACAGAAATAGGCATAATAAGACACTTCAAGTTCTTTTATAATAGAAACAATTACTAGTAATTTTACTATGTTTTAACTATATTGCATGCGCAATTTGACGGATGTTGAGCGTGAAGAGAATCGCTCCGCATATATATAACCTCAATTAACGCAACCATGGTTAGACTGGCCTCAGACACTGCGAGAGTGGATCGGAACCTTTTTGTTGGGGATCTTTTGCGGGAGGGACCGGAAAAGAGGTGGATCCTTCTGTCACGAACGATGTGGGGAGGCCGCAAGCTAAGCTGCTCGGGGAATCGTTTTTTAGGAGCGATTAGATCTAGGTGCTGGGGCACGCAGACTGAGGGTATTCGCTTAATCACGTCAGCAGGTGAGTGTCACTTTAACCACGTTTGCCGGGTGGAGGTCCCTCACAGAACCCACCGGGCGGGCAGGCTGTTCTGCGCAGGCGCGGAAGAGGGCGGCTGGTTGTCCCTGAGACCCGTGCAGGGTCACACGTCAAGACTACCTTCGGCCCTGTTCCTCGCTGTCCGTTGAACGCTGGCCTGGGCTCTCGTCCTCCCCTTACTAGAGGCTGGCGAAAAATCTGAGAATTAGTGGTTCTGGCCGCCGCCAGGCGTCCAGTGACTTTTGTTTTCATTTGGTTGAGCCCGTGCCCCCGGAGCCGGGCGACTATTCTGTGCCGGCCGGAGTCTCCAGGTCGTTTGTTTTCTTCCTTTGCCGCAGCGAGAAGACACCAGCTGCTGTCTCATAATTCTTGATAGCTTTGTATTTGTGTTTTGTTTGCACGTATCTTGCCTTTTTTCAGAATTTAAGGCAGCCATACTACTTTTTTTTTTTAATTAAGCAAACCGTATTGACAAATAAGATCAAGAAAATAACGTACTGAAACTGATGATTGTAGAACACTTTAATTTTTTAACTCCCGGTATTAACCAGAAAGTTAAGTTTATCCTTTACCTGAAATTCATTTAACAAAAACTGTGTGCCATGCACTGGATTTTTTTTTTTTTAATGAATGGTAACTCTGAGGTCTGTTTAAATAATGTTAAAATGAAACTAAGATTAGGATATAATGGGCAAAACGGGAAATTTACAGGCCCACCAACAGAGTTGATAAGTTGGTGCTCCAATACAATGAAAAATGGTGCAGGCAGTAAAAATGATGATTTCAAAATCAATGTGTGTCCACTTAGAAAAGTGATTAGGATATAACGTTAAGAAAGTAAGTTACAAATCAGTATGTATTAAAAACTTAGAGATATATAAATGCAACTATAGAGAGAGAATAAAGATACATCAAAATTTTAGTAGTGACTATCTGTGGTGGAAGTGGTAATCTATCATTTTATCACTATGTATTGTTAGAACTTATTTTTTTTTTTAGTAAATATGTCTTTTATAATCAGAAATTCAGAAAAATACAAATTAAAATATTTTCAGATTTGGGGACTGAACATAGCATCTAATACATATTTGGGATCAGGGAAACTTTTTAAACAAAGTATTCAGGAAGATATCTGGAGGGAATTGGGCAATTTTAGAAGTTGTCAGAGTGACAAAGTACCATCTTGAGTATCTTGAGATATCTGGGAAACTGCAAAGTGTTCCTTGAAAAGGAGGGCTGGAGGTGAGGGCAGAGAGTGGCGAGGGTTGAGACAGACTTTTCAGGCCATGACAAATCAATGAAAGGCCATATAAACCTCCTGAGATTGACTTTATCTTGAGGACAGTGGGAAATTACTGAAAGAGCAATATAATCAGACTTGTGTTTAAGAAAGAACACTTTGCAGATGGGTAGAAAGTGGGATGACGGACAAGACTAGGCTCAAGGAGGCCTTGAGACAATAAGTGATGTCCAGACAATAAGTGTCCAGACTTATCCAGACAATAAGTGAGGATTACTGGAACTAAGATATAGGCAGAGTAGAACTCTTAATTCACTGTCAGCGTGGTGCGTTTTAGGCTTTGGGTACATGATGTTTTAATGAATTAGATGATTTTTTTTCCTCCATTTCTTTAACATCTCAAATACCAGAATGATTACAGATTCAAAGTAGAGAATGAATTGGTAGCATTCTATTTATTAATACAAACTCAGTTACTGTCAGTTGTGGTGTGGTGGTTTTTATAGCTTTTGAGAATTCTGGCAATACTGATGACCAAGGGGCTAGTTTTACAGACATAGGGGAGGTGAAGGGGAGGTAGGGGTCACCAGTGAGTACAGAGCATGACTGTGTTAAAACCTCTGATGCTCAGTTGTATATTCATACCTTATATGTTCTTATCTATGTATCACAGTTTATGTAATTCTCTAATAATAACAGTATTTCATTTATCTACCTAATACCTAAAGTCATAAAGGAAGTGGTATTTGGACTGGCTTTTAAAACGTAATACAGATAGAAATGGTGGAAGAGAGAATACCATGAGCAAAGGCCTAGAAGCCCAAATGGTTTTTTTGGACAGTGTTGGAATGACCTTGTGCCAGACTATGAAGATCGTATGAAAAAACAAAATTTAAAAAACCAAAACAAAAAGCTCAAGAGAAAAATATTCAGAGACTGTGATAAGACAAGCCATGAAATACAAATGACCGTTTGTCTTTGTTCATTTGAATACTGTAACAAAGTACCACAGACTGGGTGGTTTATAAGCAACAGAAATTTATTTCTCACAATTCTGGAGACTGGGAATTCCAAGATTTGGTGTCTGGTAAAAGCTCATTTCCTGGTTTATAGATGGCACCTTCTTGCTGTGTCCTCACAAGGTAAAGGGGCAAGCTTGCTTTCTGGGGTCTTTTATGAAGACTCCATTAGAGCCCTCATCACCTCCCAAAGGTCCCACCTCCTAATGTCACTTTAGGGGTTAGGATTTCAACAGATGAATTTGGGGAGGACACAAACATTCAGACATAGCACCATTAAGAAAGGACATTTATCCTCATCCATGATAAATTCAAATAACACTGAGATACCATTTTCACCTATTGAATTAACAAAGAAAAACATTTGATAATACATTGCATGGGTGACTATCAATGTATTATTGATGTAGGGAAGCCAGCAGTAGAAGCTGATATTACCCACGGGGTTGCAAACCCGTTCAACATCTGTGAGTGGCAATTACAAATTTATAAATACACATGCCATTTAACACCGTGATTCTTGGGATTTTACCTACAAGTTCTCTCTAAAATATATGAAATTACCTGTGGAATTCAATCTTCTGTTTTGGGAATAGCAAAAACTTATAAATAATCTAAGTAAATATGAATTAATAGGGAACCGTTGGAATGAACTGTGAGATAACCATATAATGGATGCAGCTCTAAAAGAAAAAGAGGGGAGCTTGGGTGGCTCAGACAGTTAAGCCTCTGACTTTGGCTCAGGTCATGATCTAACAGTTCATGAGTTTGAGCCCCACATGGTGCTCTCTACTGTCAGCACACAGCCTGCTTCACTTCACATCCTCTATCCCCCTCTTTCTGCCCCTCCCCCACTAGTGCTTGCTCTCTCCCTTAAAAATACAAGTTTAAAAAAAAGAAGAAAGAAAGGAAGTTCTTTATGCTCTGTTATGAAATCTCCAAGATACCTTGATAGGTAGAAAAAGTAAGGTAGGAGAGGTACTTTGTAGTATACCCTTTTGTGCTTTTTAATTTTGAAAAGTTAAATTGCATGCCTGGGTGGCTCAGCCGGTTAAGTGTCCAACATCCGCTCAGGTCATGATCTTGCAGTTCGTGAGTTCCAGCCCCGCATCAGGCTCTGTGCTGACTGCTCAGAGCCTGGAGCCTGCTTCAGATTCTGTGTCTCCCTCCCTCTCTGCCCCTGCCCTGCTCAAAAATAAATATTAAAAAAAATTTTTTAAAGTGAAAAATAAAAATAAAATCATTTTTTATTTTGAAATAATCTAAGACTTAGGAGAAGTTACAAAAATAGTACAGAGAATCTCCATATGCACTTCATTCAGTTCTTCAGTGATAATATCTTACCTAACCATAATATATTATAAAAGCCAGAAAATTGACAGTATGATTCTATTATTAAATCATAGACCTTATTTGGATTTTACCACCTTTACATGCACTTGTATATGTGTGTTACCACAAATTCACATTTGTGTAATAACCACTACAATCAGAATATGGAGCTGTTCATAATCACAAAGAAATCTCCTAGTACTACTTGTTTGTAGTCAGACCCTACCCTGACCTTAACCCTTGGCAATCATTGATCTGTTCTCCATTACCATAATTTTACCATTTCAAGAGTGTTGTATAAATGGAATCGTACAGTATGTATCTTTTGAAATTGGTCTGCCCCACCCCTTGAATAAATACTCTTGAAATCTATCTCAAGTTCTTGTATCAGTTTTGATTTCTGATTAGTATTTCATGATATAGGTATAACATGGTTTGTTTGGTCATTCTCCTATTACAGGATATTTTGGTGTTTCCAGTTTTTAGCTATTATGAATAAAGCTGCTGTGAACATTTACATACAGGTTTTTGTGTGGACATAAGTTTTCACTTCTCCAGGATAAATGTCCAAGAATGGAATTGTTGCTTTGCATGACATGTGTATGTTTAACCTGAATAGAGACTGCTAACCTGCTTTCCACAGTATCTGTATCATTTTATATTTCCATTAGCAGTATGGAAGAGATCTAGTTGCTTCATATACCAGTGCAGCCTTGGTTATACCAGGGTGATTAAATTTTAGCCAACATGATAGGCATGTAGTAGCCTTCATTTGCATTCCTCTAGTTGCGATTGATATTTCACGTCTCTTCATGTGCTTATTTGCAGCTGTATCACTTCTTTGATGAAATGTCTGTTCATCTCTTTCTATACCCCTTTGTATACCCACACCCATTATATAATTGGATTGTTTGGTTTGTTGTTTGTGTTTGTTTTTGTTTTACGGGAGTTGGGTTTTATTGTTGAGTTTAAAGAGTATCCTTACATATTCCAGATATAAGTTCTTTGTGGGGTATGTGTTTTGCAAATATTTCCTCCCCATCTGTGATTTGTCTTTTTCCTTAACAGAGTCTTTTGCAGGGCAAAAGTTTTAAATTTTAAGACCAATTTAATCAGTATTTTCTATCATGGATTGTGCTTTTGGTGTCAGATGTAAGAACTCTGTGCCTAATCCTAAGTCATGAAGGCCTTCAATAGTTTCTTTTAAAAGTATTATAGTTTTGGGGTGCCTGGGTGGCTCAGTCAGTTAAGCATCCGACTTCAGCTCAGGTCATGATCTCACGGTTTGTGGGTTCAAGCTCCGTGTCGGGCTCTGTACAGACAGCTAGCTCAGCTCCTGGAGCCTGTTTCAGATTCTGTATCTCCCTCTCTCTCTGACCCTCCCCTGCTCACGCTGTGTCTCTCTCTCAGAAATAAATAAAACATTAAAAAAATTAAAAAAAAATAAGTAAATAAAAGTATTATGGTTTTGCATTTAGATCAATGATCCATTTTAAGTTCATTTTTATATAAGAAGTGAGATTTAGGTTTAAATTTTCTTTTTTGGTTTATCATACCCAATTGTTTCTATCCCATTTATTGAAAAGACTATTTTTCTCCATTGAACTGCTTTTGTACCATTGTCAAAAAATTATTTGAGTGAACTTTATAATGTCCCTAGTAATTTGCTCTAAGGTCTACTTTGTCTAAATGTTTATTGGACAACTGTATGTTTGTGGCAGAGTAACTAGTTCATAAAGCAGGTCTCTATAAGTTTGAATGTAGACTGGATGAGTGATTATTTTAGGATGATATGTATACATACACACACATACACATACAGTTTTCTTGTGTAAAGGGTGTTTAGTATGTGTATAAATCCATTTCATGTAGCTAATATGACAGAATTTGAGCTAGTTTTGACATCTCAGAATTCATATTATCCTTGTTTTAAAAGGTCACAGTTTTGTTTTGAATATCAGTTTTTATAATTGTGCAACATAATCCTGGTGCAGAAACTAATGGCATGAAAAACTTTTACATATGCATTACCTTATTTTGCTAATGAAAATTTCAGAAATTTCTGATTACAGTTAAATGGCAGAATGTAAGACCTTTGTTTTGTATTTTAGAATAAAACCCAAATTAAGGGGGAAAACTTTTTATCAATTGTAATATGAGATTGCCATGTGAAATAGTTTCTTCAGTTATATGCACATCAGGGATTTATACTGTGAAATGCTTTCTCAAGACATTTAATTTTTATTTTCAGGGGTGCCCGGCTAGCTGAGTTGGTAAAGCTTGTGACTCTTGATCTTGAGGTTGTAAGTTTGAGACCCACGTTGGGCATAGAGATTACTTAATAGTTTTTATTTTCAGTTTATTCAGAGAATCAGCGTAGTTGGACTCCACAGACTAAACCATGGATTTTCAGTGACTACAGAATCATGTGGTTCAAGTCCTATAGAATGACTTCTGCCTGCTTGAATAGAATAAAAATTCACAGGTAAGTTTATTCACTCCTCTGGCAAAAATTTACATAATTATGTACAATAATAGGTTCGTATTGATTGTGTTTCATAAACGCTGTTAGTATGAAATAGCATATTGGTTCAATTAAGGTATATTTATTTAAACTTCTCGTTTTTCCAGCAACTTTTAAATTTGGAAAATTTCAAACCTATAGAAAAGTTGTAATACGGTATACATCTAGTGCATACCCTTCATCCATGTTTAAATATAGCTTTTACTTTTAATGTAAGACTGTATTACCTAGAGACATACTTTGTGACAAGATACAAATAATGCAGTGCTTAAAATCATAAATGATTTGGGTACAATATAAAAATGATCAGGTGGATAATTATACAGTTTCTAGGTGGTAAGATTGAATCAAAGAATGTCTTTCTGTATTTGTATTTTATAAAACAGTTTCCAACCTTGTGAAAAATACTGCATAGACTTGAGATATGAACTGTGTTTCCCAAGTGCACACTCTACTTGTAAACAAGCTTGCTCATTTGAAATTGGATGTATGTGAACTCATTGGTAGTCAACTGAGTAACCACCTGCTGTTGCATATTATGAATTAGGCATTGATTATTGAGGCTTTGCATGAAGCATGGACAAAAAAGGTGATATTCATAAGACAATATTGAAGAAGCATGATCTCTAACCCTTAAAAGGATAGTAAGTAATTAACATACACTGTTGTCTATGTAGCTAAGAAAAGCACAGTAAAAATTCGAAAGGCATTTCTTATTCTAATGTAACAACCTTATTCTTTCTTACCCGAGAACTTCTGGAGGATTTTCCTATTATATACTTTGACATGGAATATGGTAGAGTGTCTGATCCTTGTTTAGTCCCTGTTTGATCCCACTGTATTAAAAAATTTTTAGGTGAATTCTATACCTTACTGGGACTTCTTTATTAGATTATTCATTTGACAGGTATTTTCTGAGGACCAGCTGTGTTCTAGGAACTGTGCTAGCCTCAAGGAATAAAATGGTAAGCGAGACAGTACATGTCCCATAGTGCTTAATGAGGAGACATAATCAGATTGTCACCTAGCTCCATGAAGAAATACAAAGTTATATGGGGGTTAAAATATGACCCAGTTTTGAGAGTCAGGGAAGACTTCTTAGATGGCATTACATCTAAACTAAGGTCTGAAGGATGAAAAGGAATTAATTAGGTGTACAGAGGAGGGAAGGGAATGTGAGAAGAATGGTCCAGGTAGAGGGAACATATACAAAGTATCTGAGGAAGAAGCAAGTGGGGTCCCTGCAAGGAAATGAGAGAAGGCCCATGTGGCTGGAAGAGGGAGGAAGAGGAGAGTAGTGGAAAGTGAGTTTGGGGAGGGAAGAAACTGGGGACCAAATGATTCAGAGAATTGTAGGCTGTGTTAAGGATTTCGAATTTTTTCCCTCATGTCACTGGGAAACCGCAGAAGCATTTTACGTGGAAAAATAGCATGATTGTATTTATATTTCAGAACACTCTGGATGCATTGTAGAGAACAGATTGGGGTGGGGGAAGGTAGGAAGCAGGAAGACTTATTAGACAGCTAGGACGATAAGTAAACCAAGCAAAAGACGATAGTAGCTTGGACCAGGATGATAGCAGTAGAAATGAAGAAAGATGGGGGCACTTGGGTCCAGATCCTGGCTCTACTACTTAACTGACTGAGCCACCCAGGCGCCCCTTCCTGGCTTTACTACTGACTGAATCTCTCTGAGCCTCCCTTTTCTTTTCTGTGTAATAGGGGTAATAATAGCACCTACCTTATAGTGTTACCAGGACAATTAAATAAGGTGACATGACATATGTGGAGTTCTTAAATAGTACCTGGCATTTAGTAAGTACACAATAAATGGTTGCTATTACTATTTCTCCTTCTATTACTACTACTCCTATTTATATTATTATTATCATTACTATTACATGTAACCTAGAAGGCCAAGTTTTGTAGTATTCCATTTTTGTTGCAATTTTCTTTGAAAGTAAATTAACTTTGTGTCATCTGTGAATACATGTGTATAAATACATATGTGTGTTTATAAATATATATATATTTGCAGTGTAATTATAAGAAAATTTGGTTTTAAAGCATCAAAAATGAGCAACACATGTATTTAGAATCTAATAAATTATGAATTAGAATATCTGTCTACAGGGGCGCCTGGGTAGCTCAGTCAGTTAAGCATCCGATTTCAGCTCAGGTCATGATCACACAGTTCATGGGTTCGAGCCCCACATCGGGCTCTGTGCTGACGGCTAGCTCAGAGCCTGGAGCCTGCTTTGGATTCTGTGTCTCCCTCTCTCTCTCTGACCCTCCTCTGCTCACGCTGTCTCTCTCTCTTTCTCTCAGAAATAAATAAAAAAAAACATTAAAAAAAATTAGAATATCTGTCTACAAAATAGATCCCATGTTACATTTTTTTTTAAATGTTTGTTTTTGCCTGGCTCTTTATTTTGACTTCATAGGTACCCTTGGACAAGACTGTATAGCACTTCTCGGACCACTGTAGACAGCAGTGAGGTAAAAACATTCCTGGCCCTCGCTCACAAGTGGTGGGATGAACAAGGAATATATGCACCTCTTCATTCTATGAATGACCTGAGGGTGCCATTTATTAGGTAATGTTCCAGAAACTCTTCAGTCTTTTAAAATGTAATTCTTTTCAATACTGTATCTTCTTTTATTTTGAAAATAAAATATACATTTTAAAAATATGTATCTTAGTTTATTTTTCTCTTGGTTTATACCCAGGTTCAAAATGCTGCATTTTAAGTTTGCTTTAGAAATTGGAGACATTCTTTTCAGTGTCCATTGTTTGAAGTCATTAATTTTTAAATAATGTTACCTAAAATCTAGGCTGCTTTTATTAGTTAACTTGAAGCATTTTGGACAACTTCAGGTTTATTAGAATTAAATCCTTATGAAATGAAACTATGAAATGGTTTCAAGATTTTGACCTTTAAGCAGTATTTTTTTTTAATGTTTATTTATTTTTGAGAGAGAGAGAGAAACAGAGTGCAAGCTGGGGAGGGGCAGAGAGAGAGGGAAACACACAGAATCCAAAGCAGGCTCCAGGCTCTGAGCTGCCAGCACAGGGCCAACGTGGGGCTCAAACTCACCAACTGTGAGATCATGACCTGAGCCGAAGTCGAAGTCGGATGCTCAACTGACTGAGCCACCCAGGTGCCCCTAGGCAGTCTTGATAAAGGGAATCCTACTGTGACAATTCAGTTCAGCAAATATTTATTGAGAACTTATCTTGTACAAAGCTTGGGGGACTCTACTAAGATACTCATCATTTGAAACATAATCCATATTCTTCAGAAACTTACAGTTTTCTATGGGAGATAAAGACAAGGATTCATTGGACTCTATTTACCAAAGAATTGTTCATTCATTTTCTGTCTATTTATTTATTTATGAGGGATGCCTGGGTGGCTTAGTCAGTTAATTGTCAGACTCTTGGTTTTGGCTCAGTTCATGATTTCATGGTTTGTAGGCTTGAGCCCCGCATCAGGCTCTGTGCTGATAGTGTGGAGCCTGCTTGGGATTCTCTCTCTCTCCATCTCTCTCTCTCTCTCTCTCTGTACGACTCCCTCCCACCCCCCTTGCTTTCTCTCTCAAACTAAATAAATAAACTTAAAATTAAAAAGAAATTTTTAAGCACCCAGTATGAGCAAGGCACTATAATAGACACAGAATGTCCGATTCAGACTGCCGTTAAGGAACTTCATTGTTTTTTGCTGGTTCATCCCGACTCAGTGAAGCAAAAGGGATATATGATCACCTTTCTATTACCACTGAATTAGTGCATCCCTGAAACACTAAGACAGAGAAAAGTAGAAATATCATTTCTTTAGGCTAGATCCGTGGTTGTAAGGGTGTAGGCCCTGGACTAGCAACATCAGTATTACCTGGGAACCTGTTAGGAATGCAAACTCCTCAGGCCTTACCCTGGACCTCCTGCTCTGGGGGTTAGCAGTCTGTGTTTTAGGAAACCTTTCAGGTGATTCTGATGCACACTCAGTTTGAGCATAACTCTGTTCAAACTACTGTGACCCCATTATTTAGACATCACACTAAAACAAATTATCCAAGGAAGTATACGTTATGTATATTATAACATTCTGAAGTTATCTACTTGACCACTATGTAGGTTATTCTTATAAGTCAGTCAATGTTAATAGCAATAAAAGATATCCTATTGTACCTCACTGGCTCAGTAGAGCATGCAGCTCTTAATCTCAGAGTTGTAAGTTCAAGCCCTACATTGAGCATGGAGCCTACTTAAAAAAAAAAAAAAAAAAGAGCTATTCTAAGGTATCTTCATTAAAGTATAATTAAAATTCATATATAGTCCAACTTACAAGTTTAGTTTATAGTATTGTTAGGTATATATCTTTGGGTGTATATGTGTGTGCTTATGTTTGTATATGTGGTAAAGTATTATGATCATTTTAGGATTAAGTTAACTTGATTTGGATGTCTATCTATATGATCATGAAAACACGACTAACTTAGAAGATCAAAAGAGAATCAATTTAGAAGGGAATATAGGTAAAATCTGATAATATAGATCACCAGTATGCTGCTTCTAAGCCCTATGAAATAGCCTATTTGTTGCTGGCATGAAATGGGTCTAGCTAGTACTGACAATATAGGTCATAGATGCCTCAGTTGACATATTTCAAGCAAATAAAATTAGGTGAATGTAAACTAGATTGTTTTTAAAGTTTTTCTTTAGGTTACTACTGAAGTAACAATTACGTCATAATTATTACTAGTTTATTTCAAGAGCTTTACTTTAAATCTCCTTCCTGGGGCGCCTGGGTGGCTTAGTCGGTTAAGCGTCCGACTTTCGCTTAGGTCATGATCTCACGGTTCGTGGGTTGGAGCCCCGCGTCGGGCTCTGTGCTGACTGCCAGCTCAGAGCCTGGAGCCTGTTTCAGTCTGTGACTCCCTCTCTCTCTGACCCTCCCCTGCTCACGCTGTCTCTCTCTCTCTCCTAGAAATAAATAAAACATTAAAAAAAAAAAAATCTCCTTCCTGCTTTTGGTGATTAAAAAAGTAATTTAATGCTGAAAATAAAAGGTCTTTACCACCCCTAAAAAAATCAATAATCCATTTAAAGTAAGAGTTTCATGTTTCCTTGAAAATTGTACACTTTTAAGATTTTATTGACAGGGCCACCTAGGTGGCTCAGTCGGTTGAGCGTCAGACTTCAGCTCATGTCATAATCTCGCCGTTAAGCCCTGTGTCTGGCTCTGTGCTGACAGTTTGGAGCCTGGAGCCTGGATCAGATTCTGTGTCTCCCTCTCTCTCTGCTCCTCCCCTACTCGAGCATTGTCTCTCTCCCTCTCTCAAAAATAAATAAACATTAAAAAAATTTTTAAGATTTTATTGACAAAATTAATAATTTGTTTTTGTATGTTTTGGATTTTAAAAAAAGAGACAATCTTTTAAAAACAGTTGCTGATCACCAGCCAGGAAAACCTTTGTCTGGGATGAAGATTCTTGATGTTGGCTGTGGTGGTGGATTATTAACTGAAGTAAGTAATTTACAACTTTTCTGCCATTTTTAACTGGGAAAAAGTTTGAGAAAAAGTAGGCTTATTATGACTCATTTATCCATTTAATAAATAGTATTGTTTGTTTAAAAAAAACTGAATTACATAATGTTCTTAATATTTTCACCATTGTAACATTAATACATGCTTTTTGCTTTCTTAAAAAATATATAAAAGTTTCAGAGAATTATAGTGAGGATTGTTTTGGTTGTTTTTTTGTTGTTTGTTTTTGCGTAAAATTGGGCACTGGTCATTCAAATAGCTTTGAAAATTGTTTTGTCTCTTCTAGGAGATTAGGCAATTTGCACTGGTTTAAATGCAATGATAAGCCATTTCTTTCTACTTATTTTAGTATCAAAACCTAAGAGTATTGCCTGCTTGTGGGGCTCTCTCCCCTTCTTAGGTGCTTTAGAGTACTTGGAAGAATACTCATTCACTGCCTTTAAGAAATATTTGCTTTAACTTATCATATATTTATTCCAGGCAGCTCTATTTTGTTGTCTTCTAGCAACACAATATCTTCTGTGCACTTTAAATATGTTAATACTGTATTATGTATGTGTAAATGTATTTATAGAGGGGTACCTGGGTGGCTTAATCTGTAGAACAAACAACTCTTAATTTCAGAGTTGTGAGTTCAAGGCCCACATTGGGTGTGGAGCCTACTAAAATAAAATGAGATAAAATAGAACTTTCCCCCCCACTCCCCGCTATTCCACCCCCCACTCCCCGCTATTCTCAAATAATTCTTCATAGGTTTTTTTTGTTGTGATTATCGTTCACTCTTAAGCTTTTTATTATGATAATTGTCAAATGTGTACAAACTAGAGAAAATGGTCTAATGAACTTCCATGTACCCATAAACAATCTCCAATAATTATCCTCTCATGATTAATCTTGTTTCCTTTTTGATAACCTTTTTGTTGCCCACATGTGTCCTGTTTTCTTCCTGAGGATAACAGTTTTTTATCCCATTAGCCTTTAGGGCGCCTTGGAGCTTCAGTTATTGGAATCGATCCTGTGGATGAGAACATTAAGACAGCACAGCACCATAAATCATTTGATCCAGTCCTAGATAAGAGAATAGAGTACAGAGCATGTTCCCTGGAAGAGATTTTGGAAGAGATGATAGAAACATTTGATGCTGTTGTGGCTTCTGAAGTTGTAGAACATGTGATTGATCTAGAAGCATTTATACAGTGCTGCTGTCAAGTGTTAAAAGTAAGACTTACCGTGTTTACTTGTTTGTTTTTTCTCTTGAGTGTGTGTATGTATCCATAACAATAAATGTTTCATAGTACTTGACACCTGGAAGCTAGGATTAGGGGATAGAAGTAATTAGGCAATTACTTCTGCTTCTCAGTTTACACTCAGTACCAGGGTTTTCCAGATACAATATCTTGATATCCAAGAATCTTGGAAAATGTTGGTGCTGAACATTATAATTATAAACAATAGACTTAAAGTGGCAGTTTTCCATTGGTATAATCTAGATTAAATACCTAATAGATATTGAATGACAATTAGTAAGAAACTGATTTGGAGTAATACTTAAAAATCAACAAAAACCATTAGTAATATAAGTCGACTTAGATAACATTTCTTAAGTATCTCTATATGTGACATATATAACAGTTTTTAGCTTTTAGAAGGATACGTCATATATATGATCTCACTGGTTTTCCCTACAACTAGATGAGGAAGGTAAACAGGTACTTGTGTGACCTACTTGGACCAAAGGAGATCACAATTTGAGAGATGTCAGAGGTTACTTGGTCTTTTGTGTTTTTTTTAATTTAGGTATAGTTGACATACAATATTATATTAGTTTCAGGCATATAACATAGTGATTTGACAATTATATACATTATGAAATGCTCACCACAGTAAGTGTACTTCTCATCTGTCACCATAAAGAGTTATTACAGTATCACCAACTATATTCCCTGTGCTGTACTTAATCCCATTCACCTGTTTTGCCTGTCTCCCACCCTCCTGTCTTCTGGCAGCCCTCAATTCTCTGTATTTATGAGTAAGTTTCTAGTTTTTGTTCAATTGTTTTGCTTTTTGTATTTCACATATAAGTGAAATACATGTAGTATTTGTCTTTATCTGTCTGAGTTATTTCACTTAGCATAGTACCCTCTATCCATGTTGTTGTGAATAGCAAGATCTTCTTTTTTCTAGTAATGAAGTAATACTTCATTGTATAAATATATACCATATATTCTCTATCCATTCATGTACTTATGAACACCTAGGTTGCTTGCATATCTTGGCTATTGTAAATAATGCTGCAGTAAACATAGGGATGCATATGTGTTTCCAAAGTAGTATTTATTTTCTTCAGGTAAATATCCAGAAGTGCAATTGCTAGGTTCTATGGTATTTCTAATTTAATTTTTTGAAGGAACCTCCATATTGTTTTCCATAGTGGCTGTACTAATTAACATTCCCACCACCAGTCCACAAGTGTTCCTTTTTCTCCACATCCTCACCAACACTTGTTATTTCTTGTCTTTTGGGTACTAGTCATTCCTACAGGTGTGAGATGATATCTCATTATAATTTTGATTTGCATTTCCTTGATGATTAGTGATGTTGAGCATTTTTTTCACATTGTTCATCTGTGTGTCTTTGGAACAATGTCTATCCGTGTTTTCTGCCCATTTTTTAATCAGATTGGTTGTTTTCGTGTTGAGTTGTAGGAATTCTTTACATATTTTGGATATTAACTCCTTATCAATTATATCATTTGCAAACATCTCCCATTTAGTATGTTGCCTTTTTATTTTGTTGATGGTTTCCTTTGCTTTGCAAAAGCTTTTTTTTTTTTAGTTTAATGTAATCATAATTGTTCTGTTTTGCTTTCCTTTCCCTTGCCTGATAAAACAGATCCAGAGAAATATTGCTAAAGCTGATGGCCCAAGGGATTGCTGCCTATGTTTTCTTTTATGAGTTTTATGTTTCAGGTCTTACATGTAGGTCTTTAATCCATTTTGAGTTTATTTTTATGTATGGTGTAAGAAAGTGGTCCAGTTTCACCCTTTTGCATGTAGCTGCCTAGTTTTCCTACACTGTTTTCCGTTGTAGGTCCTTGCCTCCTTTGTTGTAGGTTAATTGACCATATAAACATGGATTTATTTCTGGGCTCTCCATTCTGTTCTGTTGATCTATTTTTGTGCTACTACCATACTATTTTAATTATGGTAGTTTGTAGTATAGGTTGAAATCTTAGATTGTGTACGTCCAACTTTATCCTTTCTGAAGATTTGGGGTCTTTGGGGGTTTCATACATATTGGAATTTGGTAGAGATTGCATTGAATCTGTATATTGCTTTGGGTAGTGTAGACATTTTAACAATATTAATTCTTCCCATCCATAAACATGGTGTCTCTTTCTATTTATTTGTGTTGTCTTCAATTTCTTTCATCATTGTCTTATAGTTCTCAGAGTTTAGGTCTTTCACTTCCTTGGTTAAATTAATTCCTAGGTATTTTATTCTTTTTTGATCCAATTGTAAATGAGATAGATTTCTCTTTCTGCTAGTTCATCATTAGTGTATAGAAATGCAACCAATTTCTGTAAATTAATTGTATACCCTGTAACTTTACTGAATTCATTTGTTAGCTCTCATAGATTTCTATGTATAATAGCATGTCATCTGCAAATAGTAGCAGTTTTACTTCTTCCTTACCAATTGGAATGCCTTTTATTTTTTATTTTTTATTTTTAAATAAATAATTTTTCTGCACCTATTGAGATGCTCATATGATTTTCATTCTTTTTTTTTTTTTTTAATTTATAGGAGAGAGAGAGAGACAGCGTGAGCAGGGGAGGGTCAGAGAGAGAGGGAGACACAGACTCTGAAATAGGCTCCAGGCTCTGAGCTGGCAGTCAGCACAGAACCCGACGCGGGGCTCGAACCCACAAACCGCGAGATCATGACCTGAGCGAAAGTCGGACGCTTAAACGACTAAGCCACCCAGGCGCCCCGAATTTCATTCTTTTGTTAATGTCTTGTATCATGTTGTTCATTTGCACATATTGAACTATTCTGGCATCTCTGAAATAAATGCCACTTGGTCCTTGTGAATGATCCTTTTAAAGTACTATTGAATTTGGTTATTGGGATATTGGTCTGTAATTTTCTTTTCTTGCAGTGTTTTGGTCTGGTTTTGGTATCAAGGTCGTGCTGCCCTTGTACAAGAAAATTGGAAGCATTTGTTCCTCTTCTACTTTTTGAAATAGGTTGAAAAGGATAGGTTTTAACTCTTCAAATATTTGGTAGGATTCACTTCTAAAGCTATCTGATCTTGGACTTTTGTTTGTTGAGAATTTTTAAATTACTGATTCAATTTTGTTTCTGGTAATTGATCAGTTCAGATTTTCTATTTCTTCCTGATTCAGGCTGGGAGATTGTGTGCTTCTAGGTATTTATCCATTTCTACTAGGTTGTCCAGTTTGTTGGCATTTAATTTTTCGTAGTTGTTCTTATAATCCTTTGTATTTCTGTAGTGCCGGTTATAACTTTTCCTCTTTCATTCTATTTTATTTATTTGGACCCTCTCTTTACTTCTTGATGAGTCTGGCTAAAAATTTATCAATTTTGTTTGTCTTTTCCAAGAACGAGCTTTAGATTTCATTGATCTTTTCTATTGGTTGTTTTTGTTTGTTTGTTTTTATTTCATTTATTTATGCTTTGATCTTTATTATTTTCTTCCTTCTACTAACTTGGGGCTTTTTTATTCTTTTCCTGGTTCCTTTAGGTATAAGGTTAAATTGTTTTATTTAAGGTTTTTCTTGTTTCTTTGAGGTCAGTCATTGCCATAAACTTCCCTCTTAGAACTGCTTTTGCTGCATCCCAAAGATTATGAACCATTTTGTTTCCATTTTCATATGTCCCCAGGTATTTTTTAATTTACTCTCTGAATTTTTGGTTGACCCGTTGGTTATTTAGCCACATGTTGTTAGCCTTATGTGTTTGTGTTTTTTCCAGTTTTTTCAGTTTAATTCTGTTGTGGTCAGAAAAGATGATATGATTTCAGTCTTCTTAAATTTATTGATTCTTGTTTTGTGGCCTGGTATCTATCCTGGAGGATGTTCCTTGTGCACTTGAAAAGAATGTATATTCTGCTATTTTTACATGGAATGCTCTGTATTTCCCTATTTAGTCTATCTGGTCTAATGTATCAATCAAAACAACTGTTTCATTATTGACTTTCTGTTTGGATGCTTTCTCTGTTGATTTAAGTGGGATGGGTAATAAAATCTCTTACTATTATTGTATTACTGGCAATTTCTCCATTTATGTCTGTTAATATTTACTTTATGTATTTAGGTACTCTTTTGTTGGTTGTATATATTTTTACAATTGTTATATTTTCTTGTTAGCTTCATCCTTTTATCATTATTAATGCCCTTCTTTGTTTCTTGTTGTAATCCATGTTCTAAAGTCCGTTTTGTCTGATGTATGTATTGCTACAGCTTTCTTTTTCTTTGCTTCCTTTTGCATGGATTATCTTTTTCCACCCCTTCACTTTCAGTCTGTATGCTCTTTAGGTTTGAAGGCAGTCTCTTAAGAAGCAGCAAATAGATAGGTTTTGTGTTTTTATCCATTTAGTCACTCTGTGTCTTGACTGGAACATTTAGTTCATTTACATCTAAAGTAATTACTGAGAGGTATGACATTATGTTAATTGTTTTCTGTTTTTTGTTTTTTTTGTTTTGTAGTTCTCTGTTTTTTTCTTGCTCTCTTTCATTGTGGTTGATGACTGTCTTTAGTGCCATGCTTGGATTCCTTTCTCTTTATTTTTCACGTGTCTATTATAGGTTTTTGGTTTGTAGTTACCACGGGGAGGTTCATATATAACATCCTACATCTATAGCAGGCAGTCTATTTTAAGCTGATGATCACTTAAGTTTGAACACATGCTAAAAGCACTACAGTTTTACTACCTCCTCTATGTTCTATGACGCTGTATTTTACATATTTTTATATTGTGTATCTCTTAACTAATTTTTGTAGATATGATTAATTTTACTACTTTTGTCTTTTAACCTTCATACTAGCTTTTCTAAATGATTAATCTACTGCCTTTACTATATATTTGCTTTTACCAGTGGATTTTTTTTTCCTTTTAAAATTTTCTTACTTCTAGTTATGGCCACTTGGGCTTTATGTCAAAGTTCACTAGGCACTTAAGTGGGGTTAACATAACATCTTTTGATTCCACGTCTGGTTCTTCCCCTTACATTATTACGTTTACATAATTTGCCACAAACTTGGTCCTCTGAAGGTGGTTCCAAATTTTTTAAAAATAAATCTCCTAAAATATTGTTGTTGTTGAAGTTGTTATTAATATGACTCTTTTGTTAATGTAGAGGTAACACCCTAAAGGTCAAGAGCTAAAAGAAATACTTAGCTCTTACCTAATTAGAGCTTTTTAGAAAGACTTCTTTTTAAATAAGTTTAGTTTTAGAGATGATTACAAAGATAGTACAGAATGTTCTCATATGTCCTCCCCCCAGTTTCTCCTGTTAACATTTCACATAGTAAGGACAGGAACTAAAGTGAAGCAAGTGAGGCACCTTGGACACAAAACTGAAGGAGACATCCAGGCTTATGTGCCAGCCCTGCACGTGCCCACTCCAGGAAGTGAGTGCTTCCTTCGATTTTATTCCTGAGGTGACTCACCTGCCTCACCATAGGCCTTTCCCTGTATATAACCTATTGCACATTTCTCAAAGCTGAGGAATTAACGTTCACATTATACTATTAACTTCACTACAGACCTTATTCAGACCTTATTACATTTCTTTTTTTTTTTTTTTTATGTTTATTCATTTTCGAGAGACGGAGCTTGAGCAGAGGAGGAGCAGATTGCAGGCTCCAGGTTCTGAGCCCATGAATTGTGAGATCATGACCTGAG